CAGTCGCTATGCAAAAGGTCTTGGAAGAATAATCTGCTGCGGTGAAAATCATTGGATTGGTTGAGGTAATCCAGCAAATTGTCCAAAACCACCAAGGCGACCACCACTACCAAATCCTGCTCCACGACCACCACCACTGAATCCACCACTCGCCTCAGAATAGCGAGCCTCGAGATTGATGGTACCTGAATGAAATAATTTGCATGAACTTCGCCTATATTACCTATCAATCTCTTAGCCCAAAATCATTGACCATGCTCTGGCTAGGCCGAATGATAGGCGCAAAGTCAACATACCAAGGTCAAAAGTCTTGATTGCAACTATTCCCTGATTGTAGTAGGACGGCGGGAGGGCAATGGTCAACTGCCTGTTTCCCTGGTCAATGATTTTGGGCTAAGAGATTGATAGGTAATATAGGCGAAGTTCATGCAAATTATTTCATTCAGGTACCATTAATCTCGAGGCTCGCTATTCTGAGGAGAGTAGTGGATTCAATGGTGGTGGTCGTGGAGCAGGATTTGGTAGTGGTGGTCGCCTTGGTGGTTTTGGACAATTTGCTGGATTACCTCAACCAATCCAATGATTTTCACCGCAGCGGATTATTCTTTCAAAACCTTTTGCATAGCCACTGTTTTTTGGATAGATGTGATTATTTCAGTTGTTTGTAAAAATTTGTGGTGCAGTAAAGTTTGTGTCGTTTGACTGATTGCTTCGAAAAGCTTCAGTTTTCGTAAGATAAGGGTTCATCAAAAGTACAAAGCCGAAGTAGAACTTTGTTAGTATCATAGAGGAGCTCGGATCAGAAACATGTTACTTGGCCTTACAAAGCTCTAGTCGAACCGCAGGAATGTATCACCATAAGGCAGAACAGCCGAGCGATGCCTGCCGAGGAGCTTTCATCCGCTTTGAGAACTTTTTCTCTTATGAAGTGCAAATTGTTCTCCCATAGAAAACACCAACCTAATACTCAGTCGGTCTGCACAAAAGAGCTATAGCTTGTTGTGCTCTGTTTGTAGCGATGAGAAGCCACAGAAAGTTGGACTTTCGTCCTCTATCGCTCCAAATTCAACGTTAACCCTTTGACGACAATGCGGATTTGCACGTAGCTTGCTCGTGGGACCACGCCTCTTTTTGGCGCGCCCAACTCTCGCTCACAATTGGGCAAAATTGTCCCTCAAAGCAGTTTTTCTATAGAATTTTTGACTTTGGCAGTATACCAGATATAACTGCAGTTCTGGCTACCATACTGTATATTGTTTTCAAAAGAATTCCAAATCAAAGAGGTGTAAAAATGGGTAGGGATTTTGAAGGTGAGGATAGCAAAACCCTTGAAAAATTTAAGTGTACAGAGAATTCTCGATACACTTCAAACCCCTTCCTGCATCTGAGGGCTATGAGAAGACGAAGAAGTCCTGATTAGTAATTAATCTTCGGCCTAATAATGCAAAACCCCAATTAATATGCTGGCGAGCTAAATGGCACATTCTAAAATTCTATATAAATTAGCTCTTAGTAAACATTTCTGTAAGTCGTGCTAGCCATAGATATTATGGAACTTGCTAATTATTGGGGTGTTACAAATGTTTTAAATGCACAAAGAAGGAAATTTTAAGGTGGCACCCACCATTGGGTGCCATTGTCCCACGCGGCGAACATAGTGGCACCCACCGGTGGATGCCATTGTCGCCAAAGGGTTAAAGTCAAATTTATTCGCGTGAGAACATCCCGTTATGCAAAAATTGTAAATTTTGAAGTGCATTCATATCATGTGGCTGAGACTTTACAGTGTTTTTGCACGCTTTCTTGGATTTTTTCTTTTTATAAGAAGAATCCGCTGCACATAAGGCGCTTCACAGTAAACTCGACTTCGTGGACGGTCGGGAAGCCTTCCTAGTATGTTATTTTGTTGCGTTTTATTCGTAATCGGGGGGGGGGGGGCTTCAGTTGCAAAACCTACCATCAGATGACTAACTTTACTGAATATGATAGTTGCAGATAAGTGAACGTCCAGTTATGTCACAGCACGACAATTCACATAATTCACATCTTTTTTGGTAGGCACAAATAGCATCGTGAGGGAATCAGGTCAATGGGAGGCGATCATAGCACGGCCCTGCAACCGCATGGCCATTGGGCAATGCAAACAACGGTCGAGAGAATCCTTCACAGGGAGAGCCTCTTTGTCTCACCGGGGCGCGGGATGGGGGAAAGTAATAAGCGCAGGGGTCAGTAATAGACCCAACGGTGTAGCTGTCACCCACTCATTACCATGTGGGTTGAAAAAGTTGAAAAAGGATTCAGTCAACCATTAAAAGCAAGATAGAAAAACTATTTCGAACAAGAAATACAAAATGAAGGCTTTCCAAAAATGTTGGGTTGTGAACAAAGTGAACATCAGCGTATTTGTGTGTACTTAATTGCAATATTGTATCCCGCTCTTTCGAGGGGATTCCAAAAATTAGGTAATACTCATGATTGCACCTTTGCACGGAAATCTTTAGTAAAAGGCGAAAGATTTACTCGGTTAAATGCAAAGGAGCCAGAGTTGTCCTCAACACCCACAATGACTACAGTACCATCTGATGCGTCGTATATCTGGCCGGTTTGAGTTGACGTTCATTAATGTGGTAATTGCTCAGGTCACCTTACGATACATTTTGTCCCATATACCTACAATTCTTGTCAGTCATCATGAAATGGTGATCGTGCCAACATCAACCCCAATTCAATCATTGGTATCCGCGTCGTACACCTACCTCCCATCACTTGATTTTTCCTAATGGTTTCTTCGTTTTGATTCCCCCTGAGGGGTGGGCCGATCCCAACAGCAGTGCAACGCTGGGCCGACCCGTGACGAGGCGCGAGCAAGCCCACGACCTCGTCCGGTCTCAAAAATCAAATAACCTTAACGAGATTCATTCGAATCTCTATCGAAGGTTAATTCGATAAGAACAGAAACTAAACTTTGATCTTAGCCAAAAGGCCGAGAAGCGATACTGCATGCACCTGGCCGCACATACTCATCGCATGCTGCAACGTATATCGCATGGGTTTACCTGCTTATATCACTACACCTTAATTGAGTTTCTTTTCGCTGATTTCATCTAGTTCAGAATTTCCTCCTAATTTGAGTGTTACATCGATTTCTTGAACGAAAATAACAGTTTCGCTAACGGTTGCAAAGCTAGAATTTTCGTTTTTCGTAACCGGTGTTGATATAACCGCAGAAAAAAAAGATTCTCCTGGGAATTGTGGCCTACATCATTGTCACAGGTTGTTAAACAGTAACCACTCCTTGCGATTTTTGTCGACAGGTTCAATTCACCAAAACCAAAAGGCACCATGAATGATACTGCCATTAAAGTTCTGGGGTAATCGCCAAAGAAGCAGGTGGTTTGCCGCAATCATTTCTGCCGCATACAATAATCCATTTTTACATCGTATAACTTCGTATAATGTATCGGTGCCGGTAGGCGTGGTTACGACGGCGCGGCGGGTGGGCGTGCCATTGCTAGATATCGGATGTACCAATGGCGTGGGACTTTCTGAGCATTCCGATGACTGTGATTGTGAATGACTGTTCAGCGGAATTTCTAATTGTTGAACCCTACGTGTTCTACTTTGGAGCAAGGATACAGTCACTTTCATTAGCTATCTTAATATTGTAGTTGTTCCTTATCTAAATCTATAATAAGCATGTAGCTTTTTGGGCTTTGTGATCAAAACATGAATATAATTTGTCTACACTACTACTAAGTTTCACTCACAGTGTCTCTAAACAGCGCCATTATTTTACAAAACACATTTTCTCTATGAGAACCGTGTGGTAGCGAACAAAATAAAGAACTACGACGACCAGTAAGGTGATCCTATCTTTGCTCTGATTAGGTGTGTTTCCTGGACAAATAACTTGAATTATTCTGATGTCTAAAAGAATTGAGAGTCAAAGTTTCGACTTCTTCCTTTTGCTGTAAGCCAAACTATTGAGGTATTTGCTTCGATGCGCAATCGTGATTCAGCTCTTACATGCTCTCAACACGCTGAATTTTTGAATGTGGTCATAAAAAAGATGTTCGGGATGAATCGTTCACTCTGGGTTCGTTCAAACAAAAAGGATGTTTTAGATAATGTTGTAGTCAACCATATGATAGCCACACCATATGATAGCAAGCAATAGCTTTTTTAGGGTCTTATTCATGCGAACGTATAATA